AAGCAACTTACCCTCCCTCTTCTCCTGCCTCCTCTTGGCTGAATGAGGGCCGGAAGCGGGGCGGCCGGAAGCAGGGGGCGAGGCTTCGTCATGTGCCCCGCCCCCCTGTATCTCACCCGGGGGAACTGCGATCCCCCCCGAAATGACCTCTGACTACATAAACTGAGAGTAGAATCTCTTATTATGAAGAGCTGGAGCACGATTCTATCCTTCATCTTTTCTTGTCAGTTCCAGTACAGATTTATTCCTGTAACAAAAGCACACTTTCTATCTGCATAGTATATTTTTATTCTACTTTTCCTCCAAGGAGCTCAGGGCAGCATTTCCCATTTTATCCTCCCAAGAAAGTTAGGCTGAAAGCAGCTGGCACAATGTCCCCCAGTGTGCTTTACAGCTGAATGGGGATTTGAACCTGCCTCTCCCACATCCTCCTTTGAAAGTCTAACCGCTATTTTATTTACTTCATTCATCCCACATTTTTCTTCAAGGGGGATCCAAAGCAGCTTACACAATTCCCTGCTCCTCCATTTTATCCTCACAACAACCCTGAGCTAGGTTAGAATGAGTGTGTGGCTGGCCCAAGGTCTGCCAGCAAGACTCCGTGGCAGAGTGGGTATTCAAACCAGGGCCTCACAGATCCTAGCGTGGCACTCTAACCCCAGACCTTCTATAACCTCGGTTATTACTTAACTGCTACAAACGCTAGCAGGAGCAGAAGCAACACACCAGCAGGGTGCCATATAAAACTAATGCATGGTCGAGCAATAGGGTGCCTAAGAGCGTGGAGAGAGAAAAATATCCTGACTTTTTCATACGGGCTTAGCTGAACACACAAATTTGCCTTATACTGAACTAGGAAAAAGGGTCATTGCGGAAATAAATACAACGGTCTGTAGAAAGAGGCTCCGGGCGGGTGCCCCGGCCTTGGACACTCAGTATCAATTTGCTGTGGCAACCTCAACAGGGTATAATGACACTGAGTCCACCATTTTCTCCAGAGGAACTGATCTCTGCTACCTAAAGAACAGTTGTAATTTTGAGTGATCTCCGGCCCTCACCTGGAGATGGGCAACGGTGGTTCCCCAGAAGGCAATAGTTGGTTTGGAGGGTGGAGTCTATGGCTTTGTACCTGTCCGAGGTCCCACGCCTCCTAAAACCTCACCCTCTCCAGGCTCCATCCCTCACATCTCCAGGAATTTCCCACCTGGAGTTGGCAACCCTATCTCCTTCCCAGCCAATCATCAACCTACCTTTATTTCCCCCTCACTCTTCAGCTTTCCATCCCCCACACACCTGCAGCCTCTCCCGTGCTCTGAAGCCCTGACTGCTACGTCACATTGGCTGTCATACTGGGGCCACCCCAGCAGCATATAAGGATACAGAGCCCACCATTTTCTCCAGGGGAACTGATCTCTGCCATCTGGAAAGCAGGTGTAATTCTGAGTGATCTCCAGCCCTCACCTGGAGATTGGACACATTTTACTTCAGAACTGCAAAACTGTTTATAATGTTAGAGGCAAAAGCCAATCAAGTCGCATATGCAAACGACCTCGGTGTTCCGAGGCAGAGGCCGATGAGGCTGCATACGCAAATAACCTCTGTGTTCTGACTGGCTATGGGGGGGGGAAGGAAGAGCAAAATGTTTAGAATGTTGGAGGCAGGACTCAGGCAAAGCAGCCAGTGGATAGGGAGACCCTCTGAATGACAGATCAGAGAGCGAACTGATTTTGGAGCGTGTGGAATGTTCTAGAGAAGTGCCACCACCATTCGACTTTTATTTATAAGGGAGATTTGACCATCGGTCCATCTAGGTCAGTATTGCCTACTCAGACTGGCAGCTGCTCTCCAGGATCTCAGGCAGAGGTCTTTCACATCACCTATTGCCTGGTCCTTTCAACTGGAGATGCCAGGGCTTGAACCTGTGATTCTCTGCATGTCAAGCCAAGCCAGTGCTCTACCACTGCGCCTCAGTCCCTCCACACAAATCTGGCAGTTGGATATTATTTATCTCCATGCCTCGAGAAGTCTATTCGTAAATATTAAGACTTTATTAAAGGGACAGGTCATTTCCCCCCTCCAGGCTGCTAGAAATGCTATGAGCGGTTGAGGCCCCCAGAAAGCTAGGCAAAATCACCACCCTACGATTTAAGAGTTCTTGCAAATCCAGCAGGTTATACCCAGAATTAAACTTTGTTGGTCTTAAAGGTGCCGCTGGTCTCACGCTTTGTTCTGCTGCTACTGGTAACTCAGTTATATTACCAATAGGCAGCGTAAACATAAGAGTTAAAAAATAAACGCAAACAAACCCCGCTGATCTAAACGGGCATTACTGTTCCGACTAAACATACAAGCACCCTTACCAAAAGAACAAGCGCCACTGAACCCGCGGCATCCAGAGACTCCCCACGGCACCGCGCGCCTGCAGACGACTAAACCAGCCCCTCCCCGGCGAGCTTCCTCGCTTGCGTCACGCGCCTAAGGCTGAATCACCGGCACACAGAACCAGCAACACCGCCCCCTCTTCGCCCGAGAGCCACGTGACGCTGTCTTAGCGCTTCGCCGTCCTCTCTGTCCAGGACGAGGTTTCCTTTTTGCGCGTGCGCAGGAGCCTCGGCTAGGCTTCCGGGTTGGGTTGGCAGTCAGGGAGCGGGTCTCGGCCCGGGGGTTTAACAGCGCGGGAGTCTGCTTGGCGCCATGGCGTGTGCCCTCGTCCCTTTCTGCAGCTTCCAGGACCTGGAGTCGGCGCGGTCCTTCCTGTGTCCGCATCTCCGACAGGGCGGCGCTAGTGCACCCGGGGGCGTCAAGGAAAGTAGTGGCGGTGAGTTTGCGTGTCCGGCTCCTGCAGTGGGGGCGGAGTGAAATGGGATGTTGGTGGGGGGTATGTACCCCCCACCCCTGATCCCTTTGTAGCTGCTGCCTGATGAGGATCCTGCTCTCTCCGACATTATTAACCTTTTGCTCCCTTGAATGGGGTGGGAAGAAGGCTTTAAGATAAGGGAGAAGATATTGGGGTCCTCCCCCCGACTTCATACCCCCCCCCTTCACCATGCGAGCTGCTTCTCCTGATCTGCACGTGCTGCAGAATGAGGGATGAAGTTCTGAGGTATCACTCCTGCCTGCAAGTAGAAGAGAATGATGGATATCTCCATGCAAATATAAAATCTGTGGTAGGGTTAGACTGGGGCCTTTCTTGATTGAGCTTTTCTCACTGATGTGTTCGGTCCCCTTCCTTGTTGGGAACTTTCATGCGGGGGAGCGTCAAAAACAGTACGCACCGTCTGCAGCCTGAACACACATGAAACTGCCTTATCCTGAATCAGACTGTTGGCCTACAGTCGGTATTGCCTACTCAGAATGGCATGAACTCTCCAGGGTCTCAGGCAGAGCTCTTTCACATCTCCTACTGCCAGGTTCTTTAACGGGAGATGCTGGGGATTGAACTTGAGACCTTCTGCATGCCAAGCAGATGCTGTGCTACTGAGCCAGGGCCCCTTCCCTATCCTGAAGTGGTGCAATGAGTGCTACTGTCTCTGGGTCTTGCCTTATTCTGCTGCATGTATAGAGCAAACCTTACTGCTGTTGTGTTGAGGAAGGAAGTAGAATGGGTAGTCACAGTTAGCTGTATGTGGTGGTAAGGGGACTACGAGGTATTATACTCTGATACATGATCAACCTGGTCTGGTACTCAGTGGGCTGAATATCTGGTGCTGCTGGCTGGAGGGACGTTGTGGTATAATTCTGTGACTACATGGAAAATGTATGTCAAAATGGGCTATCCGTGCAGCCTTTCTAGTGATGGTTTGGAGATTCTTGTTTGATCCTACTGATGGGGTTATCCTAGGAATTAAGATGTAACTTTTTGTGTAAGGTCATTTCAGTGGTCATTCTGAAGGCTGAAATTGGAACAAGTCCTCCACTGTGTTTTCCATGCATTATGCTCAGCATCCATCAGGGCAATAGGTTCCTAATCTGCAACTGACATCTTATGTTTTAGTGCAGCTTTTGAGGGATAAATTGCATCCAAGAGATGGGATGAAGATCTATAAGATGGGTAGTTACATGGACATACCTTTCCCTTGCAGATGAGTAGATGAACTTATGTCTGGTCTTCAGAGTGAAGTTGAGGGATTGCAGGATTGATGTGCTCTTCAGCATGCACACCCAAAACCCCCTATGCACAGAAAATTAGTATGCCAGGGGAGAAGGGTTCTGGCTTCGCCTTCTCTCTGACATTGTTTTCTATGTAGGGATTTTTTTAAAAAAATACAGTAATGTGCATCCCAAACTAGAGTTTCAATTTGTATGCACCAGAATGGATTTACCATCTCGTGCATTATTTGTGGCAAGCAATGGCCTGAGAAGTTTGCTTTTTCTCATTTTCAGGGATGGGTCTCTAGGCCCAAGTGTAATGTAGATAGCTTGCATGCTTCCATAAACTCACTGATATAGTGGGGTACAGTATTATTCCTGTTTTAACTTGCAGGCAGTTCCTTGCTTCTAACCAGCTCTGTGTCAGAACCCACAGCTTACAACGAAGTACACACATTCAGGAACGGTTATACTTTTATTGCAAAGCTATAGATGCAGTAACACAGGGACTGTTAAGAATGGCGGTAACCCATTGAGCATAATAGGATATAGGGCATTCGTATGCACCCCCCCATGGCATGGGCCAATTAGCTACCCTCCTGCGTGCGGGACCAGCTAGGAAACCGTTAGGTGGCGAAAGCTGGGAAGCAGTAGTCTCTCACGGTACATATTAAGTCTGGAGACTTCCAGACAATACAACCTCCGACACAACATCCTCCTGCACATCTGTAGAGATAAGCATTGCGGCACAGGCAGAACAAGGAATGCAATAGCAATTACCAAACGCAGAATGAACTCCCCAACCCCCATGGCAGCATAGCTGACTGTCTTAATTGAATAGCCACGACAAGGCAGTGATCCATGAGGGGGTTTATCAGCTTAGGGTGTTTTAATACACTTGAATTTGCTCCTGTAATTCATGTTTATATGTGTATTGACTCTTTCAGTACACTTCTGAAAAGAAAAGAGAAAAATCTGAAACTCATAGTCAGGATTCTAGAAAATAGTTTTAAAATGTTTTCATCTCTAAAGAATATTACATTCAAAATATAAAACTATGCCATTAAGTTGCAGCTGACTCATGGCAACCCCTGGAGAACCATGGGATTTCTAAGGCAAAACCTGAGCAGAGGTGGTTTGCTATTGCCTTCCTCTGGACCGCAACCTCAATCTTACTTGGTGGTCACCCATCCAAGTACTAAATGCCAACCCTGTTTAACTTTTAAGGTGTGATGAGATTTGGCTGGGCAGGACTATCAGGCTACTTCTATTGAATTATTAATCATTTGAACCATATGTGTCTGCATATTTATAATGTGTTCTTCCCCTAAGTCAAGATTTCTCAAGCTTTTTTTGTTTTATACTGATTATCGCCATGAAAAAGGACAAACACTTTTAGCCAGTTCCCATGTAACCAAGACAAAAAAGAAAACAAGTGGCTGTTAGGACTGTGTTACCTTTCAGTGTCATTGAGAACCACTGTATTTCTCCTACCTGAGGTAGAGTTTTCCCTGGATCCCCTGCTCATACCCACCAGACTCAGACCAAACATTGTGTGGAAACAAATCACATGATGTGCCGTTAGCATGAATAGGCGAGTAATTGGTTATTTTTACATGCCCCATTCCTCACATTTGTATTCCATCATTTCTCCAAGGAGCTCACAGTGTACATCTCCTCCCATTTTATTATCATAATAAGTTATTTATGTTTAGTTATTTATTTAAAAATTGTGCCACCTTTCCACCCTATCAGCGTCCAAAAGGTGGCAAACATAAAAAAACATTAAAACATTTTAGCAACTAAAAATACAGTTAAAATTATAAAACACACAAACCAAATTAAATTAAAACACACAAACAACACCAGAAGGAGGGCCAGTAACCATATTGGGGGTATGGCAGATGAAACAAAAAGCTGGCTGGCAAAAGACACCCATAGAAAGAGACTGATGATTCTCCCTGGGGAGGGGGTTCCAAAGTTTTGGTGCCATGACAGAGAAGGCCTTTCTCAGGTTGCCACCTATTTAGCTTTAGGTGGTGGCGGCAACTGAAGCACGGCCTGAAAAGATGACTGGAGCATACTGGTAGGTTCAAATGGGAGAAGGCATTCCTTAAGGTATGTTGGTCCCAGACTTCATGGCTTTAAAGGTCAATATCAGCTCCTTGAATTGAGCCTGGAAGCGAATTGGAAGCTATGCTGACCCCGTCCACTTCCCTCCTTCAGAGGCAAGATTTTCCCTCTGTTTTTCTTTCCCTTTGGGTTGCCAGATCCTCTCTGGCCACCAGCAAGGGATGGAGTAGAAGGGATGCCAGATCTGGGTTGGGAAACTCCTGGAGATTTTGGGGATGGAGGCTGCGGAGGACAGGGACCTCAGCAGGGTATGATGGCATGAAGTCCACCCTCCAAAGAATGCATTTTCTTCAGGGGAACTTAAGAACATAAGAGAAGCCAATGTTGGATCAGGCCAGTGGCCCCACTCAGTCCAACACTCTGTTACACAGCGGCCAAAAATACCATGTGCCATCAGGAGGTCCACCAGTGGGGCCAGGACACAAAAAGCCCTCCCACTGTTACCCCCCAGCACCAAGAATACAGAACATTACTTGCCCCAGACCGAGAGTTCCCATCTATTTGTTGTTGTTGTTCAGTCACACAGTCAAGTCAACATGGGTTCTGTAAGGGAAGATCTTGTCTCACTAACCTGTCAGTGTTTTTTGAGGGAGTGAACAAACATATGGACAAGGGGGACTCAATAGATGTTGTTTACCTTAACTTCCAGAAAGCTTTTGATAAAGTTCCTTATCAAAGGCTCCTAAGTAAGCTCAATAGTCACGGGATAAGAAGACAAGTCCTCTTGTGGATCAAAAACTGGCTAATAGGAAACAGAGAGTGAGTATAAATGGGCAATTTTCTCATTGGAGGGTGGTAAGCAGAGAAGTACCACAGGGATCAGTACTTGGTCCGATGCTTTTTAACTTGTTTATTAATTATTTGGAGTTGGGATTAAGCTGTGAAGTGGCTAAATTTGCAGATGACACAAAGTTGTTCAGGGTGGTGAGAACCAGGGAGGATTGTGAGGCACTCCAAACGGATCTGTTGAGGATAGGCGAGTGGGCGTCAACATGGCAAATGGAGTTCAGTGTGGCCAAGTGCAAAGTGATGCACATTGGGGCCAAAAATCCTCCCCCCCGGAAAAATTTATATTTTATTAGAATTCAAACAAACATATAAACATACAAGTACATAGACAAAAAATAGACCATAAAAGAGTGTGTGTGGGGGGGGTTCTTACACCTTTGTAATATCTGTTAAAATACTTCTTACAAAATCCATTTGTATATTGCATATCTGCAAAGTCAACATACTTTGTCTATCAAAACTGCATATAATTATAAGTAGGTTCTATGATGTCTCCACTTCCAGTAAAAAGTCTGTATAGTTAATTTACTGATTTCTTCCAGCCATGTATAAAATCTTGACCATATATTCTGGAATTTTTCTTGTCCTCTCAAAAATAAAGTCAGTTTATCCATTTCCGCAGTCTCGAGAGTTTTAATTATAATTTCTTCTTTTAAGGGTATTTCTTCTTTTCTCCAATATTTAGCATACAATATTCTTGCTGTATATTCAGGGCCGGCTCGCCTGCTAGGCGAACTAGGCGCTCGCCTAGAGCGCGCAGGCCCTCAGGGGCGCCAAACTGGGCCCCGCCCCAGAGCGCCAAAGAGC